TCTCATCTGGCTCCACTCATTTTTAACACATTGGATGTAGCTAGCTAAATATGTCCATCCCTGTAATTTTCTTAAAATATAAGTATACAAGCAATAGATTAAGAACCCTAATTTCATTGATATATAAACTGTACCATGCTGCTTCTTCAATTTTATTTTTGGAAAGAACCTAATTTAATCATAATACAAAATATGCATGCACATATGTCAGCATTTGTACAGAAAATTGTTTAACTATATACAGCTTATTTTTAAAAGTGGGAGATGAGCAGGCAGAGAATTTTTGAAGTCATGTTTGAGTTTTCGACAATATACATGTATTCCTTTTATAATCATTAAAAAAATTAATATTTAAGTTATCTAACAATTCCACAAAGGAAACACAAGATGGATAATCTACCACTGCCACTTAAAAAAATAATTCTTTTTCCTATGCAATTTTTCAGTGACCTTAATCTCCTCAGCCTACCATCCAGCATAACAAGAAACAGAATTATCAAAGCTTCATTTTTCACAAGCAGCTTCCTTGAAAGTTACAGATGTAGTAGGATTTGTTTATGTAAATATATATATTATTTAAATGCAGATTTATGAAGAGACTGCTTTCTTCTTAACACGTTTAAGGATCTTGATAACGAAATCTCCCTGGGGAAAAAAATCTTATGCATACTAACAATGTTTATTAGTCTACAACTTGCCAGAATCCCAATCTTTGGAACATGCTTCTGCTCCTGATCAACCAACACAGAAAATAAGGCCCTAAATGAAGAGAAACGTAACACTGAAAGGGAAGACTAAATCTGATTCCCCTCGCTTTACCTCGACTGCATCCTTCACATACATTTTTTTTTTCCTCCATTAGATAAGCAGATACCACCTAAGACTTGCAATTTTACACTGCTATTCTATTAATTTCTTTCCTCATGAAATAAATTCATCCAAAATCACGGGGAGAAGACTGTGGGAAAAAAAGTACTCCTCAAATAAAGAAGTAAAAGTACATTGAAACCTGCAAAAATACTCCATTAAAAAGAAGTTTGCAATAGTTGGGTAGGTCTTTTCTCCTTTTCTATCCTTTAAAATTGAAGCAATAATTTAACAAGATGAAAAATATGAAAGTATTAACTGATACCTTTTGTTATCAGTTGTTATCAAGTTCATGTTGGTGATGGTGTAGGAAAAAATAGAAAAAACAAGAAAGAGTAAACAAGAAAAAAACATTTTTAAGGTCAGCTAAAATGTCTTCTGTTGGAATTTCGGCATATGTGTTTGCTAAGCAGTAGTAAAATTTCAGAGAAACAAATGTTGCCCCAAGAAGTTACTGAGACTCCTAAACAAATACTATCTTAGATTCAGAGAAGTTTTAAACTGTTTTCACATTGTTATTATCTTTTATCTTCACAAAAACAATTCTGTGAAGTAGGCAGAGCACACATTACCATCCCTATATTAAGGAAAACTAAACTGAGCTCAGTTACTGTCTAAAATAGGCCTTAACGTCTACTTGAAAGATAACATAATCAGAGCTGGAACAGACTTTAGTGTTCCTTTCACAGTTAATTTCCCCCCATTCTACAGATGAGGAAAAATGAAGCTCAGGGAAGTCAAGACACCTACCCAATATTACAAATCTCTCAGAGACAGACTGAAACATTGGAAGGTAGGTCTCCTAACTTCTGGCCCAGTACACTTTATTTCCACCACCACACTGCCTGCCATGCCATAGAAGCAGATATAAAAGTAGCCTGGGGCTTCCCTGGTGGCGCAGTGGTTGAGAGTCCGCCTGCCAATGCGGGAGACGCGGGTTCGTGCCCCGGTCCGGGAGGACCCCGCGTGCCGCGGAGCGGCTGGGCCCGTGAGCCATGGCCGCTGAGCCTGCGCGTCCGGAGCCTGTGCTCCGCAGCGGGAGAGGCCACAGCAGTGAGAGGCCTGCGTACCGCAAAAAAAAAAAAAAAAGTAGCCTGAAAATGTTAAAAATCACTATATAAGTGAGTAGCATTATTAGGTCCAGAAAAGGGAAGACATATTTTTAATTTTAAAAAAATTAAGGAATTATGCAATAAATAAATTTAAATGTGAAACTACCTACCACCTTCACCTCTTTTCCCTAAAATCCTCCTTTATGTGTTCTTACATCCCTGATTAGACTACAAATTCCTTAAAATTTCCATAACCTGTACATATAAGGATCTCAAAAATTTTTCAATTGATGTAATTTTATTTAAAAAAGCAAAACATTTTCCAGAAACCATGTTACATTCCCCTAATAAGCATTAAAGCCTATTACTCTTGATTACAGTAACTTAAAAAGTTATTTTACTTAGGTCACTGAAGTATTTTTCACTGTGTATGCTCACTAAAATATTGCCATTGCAGACTTTCAATTGAAACAGAGCAATCAGATCTGACAGACAATCTACTGCACACATGCATTAATGAAAATGTGATAATTGACTGGCAGGCACGTATTATGCGGTAGAAGTTTCTTTTGAGGTATAAGAGATAGATTGAAAAGATGATGTGGTTTATACTGTCATAAAAATGTAAACAGCAGGAACCTTATAAACACATGGTAAACAGATCTCACTCACTTTTTTGGCAAGATTTTTGAACAAATGTTTCAATCCCAGCCAGCCAGGAAGCTATGCCAGCCTTTACAGACAACTCTATACAGGGCAAAAGATTCAAAATCCATCTGATGTATTTGTATGCAAAATCACACAAGGAGAGCAGAGCAAAAGCTATTATTATTAAAACTAGAGCAAGATTATACACATATTCATATATATGTTGCATATATATAAAATATACTATACATAATGTATTCATCCTTTTCAACAAGTCCTAACTGAAGGCTCATGGACCAGGTAGGACCCTAAGTACCACTAATTCAAAAATAAGTAACACTGTCCCCACCCAGAGAGAACTCACAATCAAGCAAGGTAGAAAAATATTTCTCAAGAAATTATAAATGCGTTAAGTGCTGAAATACAACATTTCAATAATTCAAAATATTAGCCATTTGGATATAATGATCACATTCAACTCATTTTAAATTTTACTAGTTTAATAATACAAGAGCCTCGAGTTTCTCAAAACAGGAAGTGAAAAAAAAATGCTTTTGAGAAAAGGCAGTGAGTGAACTGGAATTCTAAGCATTCAAATGCTTAGAATTTAGTCCATCCTTATTTCATTTATGAAGATGAAATATGTAAAGTTTGATTATATTTATGCCATAAAAATGTTCAATGAGTGCTTTAAAAAAAGGTATTTTGCCCAAATACCCAAATCACTTTTGATGTTACTCTCACTTCCTCTTCTGGAAACCATCATAACCATTTCCTTTAACCACAATACCACATGTCTAGAAACTTTTAGTAATGTTTGACTTGCTCGTTTTTTGCACAAAGGGCATACAGGAACCAATTTCCAAGTTTGTTAAGGAGCATAATTTCACAAAAAAGTTCAGGTCAATACAACCTATAAGTAATACTACCTAAAATTAAATTATTCCTAATTTACATAAATTTACAACCAAGGCTCTTTGGTAAATGCAGAGGGCTTCTTTATAATGACCCTGAGCTCCTGCCACATAAAATGTAACAAAGTGAACAGGCATGTTGCAGTTACTATCCCGATTGCACTGCGTTTAAAGTCAACCAATCCTCACGTCCAGGTAAGCGACTGGAACATAGCTATCTTTACACAAAATTTACCACTATTAAGCCAGGACAGTTTTTTCTCCTTTAGAATTCAGTGTCTACATCAAATTGTTCAAATAAGTCAGTTTTACACTGAACCCCATGATATGAATTTTTTAAAAATATTCTTTCTTCAGGAGTCCTAATTCACAAGGGCTATAACTCTACTGCTATGATTAAACTAAAAGGAAACCTTCAGGATGCAATAAAAAGCCAACAAAAATAATTACGTAGATATAACATCAAATACCCATTGGAAACTGTCAGGATCTAGATAGTCACAAAAAATCTTAACTTTCTCTTTATCAAATTACTTAAAACTTTGTCTTAAAAGAAAGAGGATTTTAGTCTTTCTTTCCTAAGATAAATTAATATTTGTTCTATCTTTACATCTATTTTTCTTAACTCCAACTCAGCCCCTCATTCCTTAATCTGCTGAAGCCACGTAAAGACTTTCAATGGGCCTATTAGCTAGATCTACTCAAATTATCAGAATACGCTATAAAATCAGCAGTAATAGCAACATATTCACAGTTTTTATTTTGTAGAGACGCCGAACTTTAAGAAATGATGTTTTGGTATTATCAGACATGGCTGGAAAAACTAAGACGAGGAGGAGTAAAGAGGGAAGGGAGAGAAGGTTGTTATTCCTGTTCTAGTGACTCACAACCCAGAAGTATTTCAGGAGAAAACTGGTTCCACCCTCACTTCCCCCTCCTCTCCTCCACCTTCAAAATGAAATTCCAAATCGTCAACAGGCTCTCCAATGGCTTTTATTTGGCAATCTAAAATAAAATGGCCTAAGTGGAGGGGATGCGGGGTTCATCCTGATTAGCCATTCCCTTCCCACATTCCCACACTTAACAAACCCAAAACAGAAAACTGCTTCCATCTCCGCCAGGTTCCTACCATCCGACCTCAGTTATTGGAACACCCAAGTTTTCCTATTCTCCTCTTAGACTCTCGCCCACCCACCCTCCTCTCTTTCCCGTAGAGCCCCTTCCGGGAGCCGGGGCGCCGAGGAGGGGGCGAGAGCGGCGGCGGCGCCCCTCACCCCGCGAGGAGCGGGGAAATGGCTCCTCTCCGCCCCTGGCCGGCCCGCGAGCCAGCAGGAGAGGCGCCGGAACTCCGCATTAGGCCGCGGCGCATCCCGGCGACCCCGGCCGGGCCTGCAGCCGCGAGGCGGTGATTTCTGTCCCGGGCGCCGCCTGCCGCCCCCACCGCCCGGGCCTCCCCCGCTCTCCATCCCTCCTCAGCCCACCCGCCGCCCCCGCCGCGGCCTCGCCGGCCCGTGCGCACCTTCTTGATGTTGTAGAGGCGGGTGAGCATGCCGACGCCCCGGTCGTTGAGGATGGTGAGCTTCTCCGCCAGCTTCTGCTGACTGGGCTGCAGCACGGAGCGCGACATGGTGGCGGTGGTGGTGGTGCCGCCGCCGCCGCCGGCCGCCTCGCGCCCAGTCACCGCACCGCGGCCTCCGCAGCTACCTCTGTCGGGCCTCCTCCCCTCCCTCCCGCGACCTCCGCCTCAGGGTAGCGCGCCCATGGCCCTCGCGCCTTTAACGCGTGCCGGTGACAGAGCGAGCCGCGGCGGACGCCTCGGGGTCCCTTTCCCCTCAGCAGTCCGCGCCCCGGCAACCTCCTGCCTTCCGCCCGCCGCCCTTCCGTCCCCACCCCCGGCGCTCTCCGCCCCAGCCCCCACCGCGCCGCCTTCCCGGGCTCCTCCACTAGGTGTGGCGGCGGCGGCGTCGTCTCCGGCGGCTGAGAACGAGGCCGCTTCCCGCAGCCCGGGACGAGCGCTCGGTCACCTGATCGGCCGCGCCGGCGCCCCCGCGAGGCCGGACAGAGAACTGCGCCTGGGGGCCCTCGCCCGCCCCTCCCGGCTCCGCTGCTACCGCCGCTCAGGACGCGGCCTCGGCCCCACACCGGTCTCGACCCGGCCTGGCCCGCCCACTGCCCCTGATCCCGGCAGGGGAGTCTAAGCCGGAACCTGATGAGGTCACGTTTCTCTGTTCGCCACACACCCCTCTCCTTCAAGTTCCCAAAAGTTGCCTTTCCGCACCACCTCCCTAAAGAAACCAGCAGAAGCCCGCGGGGAGGAGTGGGGCGGGGGCCGGGCGGGTGTTTTTCTGGCGAGTTTCTCCCGAGAGTGGGCTGGTGGCTCCATGCGCTTCTCCCTCCCACTGCTTGACAGACGTTCCCGGCTGAACACAGCAGATGTGCTCTGCGAGGCGGGCCTCGCCTCTCTTTCCCCCCCCATCCCATCCTGACTCTCCTGCCTCAAGGCAGTTCGTGAGAGAGGAGGTCGGAAGTGAGGGCAGCTCAAGTTCCTGAGATAATCAGAATCTGGAATTTGTCGACGAGGATCACCCTTCCGGAGAAGACGCCAATAGAAGAGGCCCTGGCATGTGGGAGGCAGAAATAAATGTTTGTTCAATGAATGAAGGAACGGTCCCATTTTTTTTCTGGCCTCCACCCCAAATCCCACTCCTTCTTGGCAACATTCCACTTTTCCATCTCTTTTCTTTTTTCCTGATCAATTTCCTCCCGGTCACACCCGAAGGCTACTCCCTCTGGTCAAATATATTAAATGTTCCAAAAGTGAGCAAAATTAAGGATTTATGTCATTGACTGGGGTGAGGAATTCCAGCAAAGAGGAGTCAAACTGTTCTGATGGTTTTTTTCGCCCTAATTTCCTCTGATATATTAATCTTTTATATTATATTCATTAATTTTAAGTGAATGACAAAATATTCTGCCACCTTCAATAAACGACATTGTAAGAGTAAATATCATTGCATTGATCAAAACACTTTAGGGAAAGGAAATTTTGACGAATATCTTTTGAAACATTTTTTAAGCTAGTGTACGTACAGTTCCTACAGAAATCTTCGTTTTAATATGCCAAGGAGAGAAAGGCAGTAGACGGACTGAATTTGATTTAAGAAGCTTTAAATAGAGTCCTAAGTCCACCAAAAAGTCCTACCTGCCTTTGTGCTTGGAATCCTATACACAGAACTTAACTTGAATGAAGGTTTTTAATGTAAACACCTCAGAGAGATCACCTATTGAGCTATCATTAGTCATTAGCACGTTGGGGGGATTTAATTTATCTGGTTACATTCCAACCTGATAGTTTAAATATTAATTTAGAGGAAGTAGGAGTCTGGAGCCTGAGATAGTGAGAGCAGACCTGGGAAGGAGAGGTCCAGGGAGGGGCTTGGAGAGTAAAGACGTGCTCTTTTCAGGGACCACAGACAAATTTAACCAGAGGCAGAATTACAGAATCACACCAAAGAAAGGTTATATCATTTTCTACTTTTTCAAAACTCCTGTATAGAGAGAACAAGAAAATGGTGCCATATTAAAATTTGAATACAAGTACCACTCAAGAAAAGCCACTGTCATGTTTCCATATGAACTTGAACATTTGTAGCTGCTTATAACTCAGAGTACCCAATAGAGGGAGAACTCTGTGGATTCTAGTCTCATTATTGAATCTTTATTATAACCAACTTTTAGACATATTGGCCCTAGATTAAATGGAACATGTCTATTCGAGTAAAAGATATTAGGTCTAGATGAAGTATTCACAATTCTTGCATTTCTCTACATTTTCCATCAAAAAGCATTTTGTTATTAAGAGCCAACCCTTTGGAAGTTTGACTGTGTGTGTAGTATAAACTATACTGTCAGTGCTAAGGTAATAATCATATATTTTGCCATGCATGTATGATTTTATGGCAAGTGTAATTAGTATGTGTCATATTTCCTCTCAGTTTTCATACCATGTGAATCAGTCTATAAAGTTATTAAAAGAATTGCCCCTTTTGTAGATTTTTTTTTCCTGCTATAGTTTTCTGGAAAAGCATAACATTCTAAGAGTGATTAGGAAAGTTAAAAAAAGACATTAGGAAAGTAAGTTTTAAAAAGCATGATTGGGCTTCCCTGGTGGCGCAGTGGTTGAGAGTCCGCCTGCCGATGCAGGGGATACGGGTTCGTGCCCCGGTCCGGGAAGATCCCACATGCCGCGGAGCGGCTGGGCCCGTGAGCCATGGCCACTGAGCCTGTGCGTCCGGAGCCTGTGCTCCGCAACGGGAGAGGCACAACAGTGAGAGGCCCGTGTACCAAAAAAAAATAAAAATAAAAAGCATGATTGAAGATTTTATTTCCCTCATCATATCAAGCACACTCTTCACAGTTCCTTTGGTACTAAAGATTTTCAAATAGTTTCTCTTCAGTTAAGAGATTTCTGCTGTTTGTCTCGGAACATAAGCCTTCAGAGAGATTTAGAAAGTAGATGATAGCTTCATATTTGTAGTAATCATAGAAAGTTAGCTAGCATAGACCAGTATACCTTAAAAAATGTGAATTTTACTGTACATAAAGTATATCTTAATAAATCTGACTAAAAGTTATATATCTATGTTTGAAAATTTATTTTTTTACTGAGAGAAGTATAACACTCTAAGGTTGGAAAACGTTCAATCATTCATAGTAACAATCCTGGATGGATTTAAAGAATATTTTTCTATTCTATATAATAATCAAACTTATGTGTTTGATTGAACAATAAATACTTAAATTGTGCAAAGTGCTGTTGTTCTAGGAGGAGATATACAGCTGTATAAGATACAGATTTTAATCTCCTTGAGCTCACATTCTCGGTGAGAATAGAAATATACATAAGGCCTGAGATACAGGGCTACAAGGGAAACCTAGGGAGAAGAGTTCCAACCTGAAGTTCCTGAAGTTCCTAAGAGTTATTCTAAAACTTACATTTGGGCTTTGAATGAGAAGTAAGTCTTGGGCTTAAAAACTTATAGTAAAAGCGTTTCCCTGGTGACGTAGTGGTTGAGAGTTCGCCTGCTGATGCAAGGGACACGGGTTCGTGCCCCGGTCCGGGAAGATCCCACATGCCATGGAGCGGCTAGGCCCGTGCGCCATGGCTGCTGAGCCTGCGCGTCCGGAGCCTATTGCTCCGCAACGGGAGATGCCACAGCACTGAAAGGCCCACACACCGAAAAAGAAAAAAAAAACTTAGAGAAAAGGACACTCTAAGCAGAAGGTGCAACTTTAATAAATGCAAAATGATTTTTTAAAAGTGCAGGAAAATAATAGGAATGCTCATTACATACATGAAAGAAACAATGGGAAATAAAGCTGGAGGTAGAACAGAAAATATGTAGGCCTATGATTGCTAAAGCAGGAGAAAAAAATTCAATGGAGAAGAAGAAATATCCAAAAAAAGTGGGAGAACTAAAGGTAACTCTTGGGAATTTGAGGTTAATAAAGAAAATTTGAAATAGCTGCTGACTGTGACAAGGATTCCTAATTATCCTTCAGTATATTTCTCTTTCTTCCTTAGAATAAAGACTACATCTCCCAGTCTCCCTTGCAGCCTAGTATGGCCATATGACTAATGTTCTGGCGATTAGGATGTAAGCTTTCAGGAACCTTCCTTAAGAGACTGCTGTGATCTCTTTTTGCCAGTCTTCGCTTCTTACTTCATTCTTCCACATGAAACAAGGATGCAATGACCACTATCTTAGGCCATGAAGACAATGGCCACTCACTAAGGATGGCAGAACATAGAAATAGAAAGTACAAGTGGGCTTCTTAGAGCAGAACTACCATACTAAACCTGCCCTTTCTACATCTGGATTTTGTTTGAAAGGGAAAGTTTTATTTAAGCTTCTTTTATCTGAGACTTCTTTAAAAAATTACTCACAGCCCAACCTTATACTAAATGATAACAGTTTTTGAGGTCAACATTATAGTATCACTACCAGGAATAAAACAAGGACAAATAATCAGATTTAATATTGACTAAGTGTTTTTGTACTGTGTCAGGTGCTACTATTTGAGTTACATTTTCTCATCACCTCTCTCAACAATCCTTTGAGCTATTATTATCCTCATTTTATAGGTGAGGAAACTGAAATACAGATAGTTTTTTTGTTTTTAATTACTGAAGGTCACACTCATAGAAAGTGATAAATCTGGTACTAGATTCTTTATCAGTCTAACTCCAAAGTTCATGCATATTCTTAACCACTGTGATGTAACTGACAACAAGTTTGATGGCATAAATTTGGTGTGCATCAGTGAACATGATTCTGTAGTTTCTGCTAGAGTTCCTTAACTCTGCCCAGACCTTCATAAACAGTCTCTTCATTAAATTTTCTTCAGTTAAGAGCTAGACTCTGCCATATTTTTCCCAGACTGGTATACCAGTCTTTTAGGGGGTTTTCTTTAGCTTTGCCTCCTCCAGAAACTAGAATGGGAATTATTTCTGTAACACTTTTTGCTAATCATGAAGTATATTTCAGTTTGCCTTTTTAAATCACCCAGCCTTCTGTTGCTTCCCTGTTGAAGACAAAAAGAAAGAAAAATTGAGGAAGAGCTTCT